CGTGGGTAGCTCCTATCCCTGCCCTGCGGCTGGGCTGCCTGACAGCTGCAAGGGCTCTGGGGATGTCCCGGGACACCTCTCCTCAGGGACCCTGAAGCCGGGAGTATCTGGGGTGCCTGTGTGCCACTAGGCTCAGCTGTACCTAAGACCCCCTATGGGTGCTGCACTCCTGCCCACCCCAGGGTCTCCTTGTGGGCTTAAAAAGTCTGATGCTGAGTGCAAATAGAGCACACACAGGAAGAAGACTTAGCCCAGCAGGATTACTCCTCACTACCTTTTCAAGAAGCTACTGTTCCCTAAACCTCGACCACTTTTTATCCAACCCATAGTTTTCTACAAAGACATTTTACATATACCTTAAATTTTATTACTAGTGCTTGGCTATAAGATTATAAAGTGAATAACTCAAAAGGTAGAATTATTCCTTGAAAAAGCTAAAACAAAAGAGAAAAAGGCAAGCAACTTTTGCCTAAGGGACGTATCTCACAACCTGCCAGTTGCTGACCTAGATGCTGTAGGGATGAGACTATTTCATGGTGGAAATAAGGGAGTTACTACGCTGGGAACCCCCCCATGAGGGAGTTCCACATCTGCCATGCTGGGAACAAGGGATCTGAAGGTGACTGGGCCCCTGGAAAAGCCGCTTCTCAGAACAGCGAGAAGCTGAAGTGGATCTTCCTTGGTGTCTTTCTCCAGAGTCTCACTGCACACAAGAGAGGGTGAAGCCAGGGACTGAGCGCCCAGCCTGACCCCCACGGAGGACATGCAACACACTGACTTCACAGGGATGAGGCCTCCAGCTCCACATAGGAGGAGGGGACTGTGCCCGGAGCTGCACCTTTCCCTGCTCTGCTCTGGGATGCCTCCTTGCGGGCCCCAGAGTTACCCAGACCGCAGGTGGCACACCAGGGTGAAGGCCTCCCTGGGGGCACAGGCCCCCTCCCTGTGGCCAAGGGCTTTGCTGTTAGAGCCCCCCTGCCTACCTGGAATCTCACTCTGGTCAGCCCCAGGGCCACTGTACCTGGGGGCTGAGAAGTGAGTTTGCCTCTCAGGGAGCAAACCTACCAACAGCCCTGATCATCAGCTGGACTTCTGATGACAGCCCATGGTGTGGCTTTAAGGACATGCTGTCAAAACACATTCATGCATAAAATCCTAGTATGTCAGAAGAAAATTTTAGGGTAGGTGACCCAGCTGCCCGCAGGGTCTGGCTGTTTCATGCTGGGTGGGGGCTGTGGGGACAGTGATCACATGACCCAGGCTCTGTCCCCACAGCCCCCACCCAGCATGAAAAAGCCAGACCCTGTAGGCAGCTGAGCTCCTCCACTGGGCAGAGGCCCACTCTCTCTCCCTGCCCAGGGTGCTGGCAAAGTCCCTCCTGTTTTCCAGCCAATGGACAACTGTCCCTGGTTCTGGTTCCCTGTGCCCGTTTTAGGTGTCCTGGTCCCTGGCTGTAGGACTTGGTGGTGGGGCCTGACCTGTACTTAGCACCAGACTTCCTGGAAGTCCACACCAAAGTGCTTGATAACAATGTGAGACAATAATTCCTATGTATCTCAAGTAAGCACCCTAAAAGTACTGTCATTTGGGGTTAGAGTTTTAAGCTTAGCAGCAATTAGTGAGTTTGCAAACAAGCATACTACTTAGACACACCCACTAGGGTTCTGGACCCAGTTCTAAAGAGTCAGCCTTTGTGCAGTGGGTCTGTTTGGACAGATGAATCCACACAAGAGGAAGGACTCAGGTGCCCGGGTCCTCACAGGTCTACTTGCTATTTGCATTTCCCTTCCTGCCACGTGACATTCTTCACAATTCTACAAAAGAGGCGGCAACTAAACAGAGTTTGATAGGCAGTAGCAGCTATCAACCGACACCCACCAGAGCCCTGGAGAGGAGCCAGCTGGCTAGAGCCATAGCCTGTCTGGCCAGCTACAGGACAACAGCTGTGATGAGGTGTGCTCAAGCCCTTCCTTGGACTCACTGTTTTGGGGGGAAATCAGGACTAAAAGATGTGAGCAATCACTGGCACAGATGCCAGAGGCAACCTCCATGTTCAGCACATGACAACAGGACAACGGCTCTCAGCCTCTGGGTCAAAAAGTGGCAGCCTGTCAGCTCCCCTAATAGGCTGGCAGCACTCCCCTTGTGTGACGTGGCCACCTCCACCAGGTACAAAAACCCCGGGCCTCTACCACCCATGCACCTGCCAATTTTCACTGAGACCTGACCGTGGTGCCACTTCTCCAGGAAACCATCCCTGATGCCCACCAGCTGCATGGCCCTGGACTCCCACCTTCTCCTCCAAACCTCAACTACTGAGCTCCTGCTAAGACTGGGAGCCGCCCCATGTCTCCAGGTACTGGCGGCAGGTGACACCGATCTCAGCCCTACCTCACAGCCACATGTGCCCTCGGTGGTGCTGACCTACAGGAGCAGCACAGCACTCCGTAAACACCATGTCCTTATCACCTTCAGGCCACTCCCTGGCTCATCCAGTTACTCAGAGACTGCATCTCTGAGAGTCTGTCCAGTGCAGCTTTTTTGAGAGAGGATCTAAGTAAACAGTTACTGTGTGTGGAGTACCTCACTCACATGGATATGCCAGAGTCCCACTGAGACTGTGACTCAGAGGTATATGGCCCGTAGGAGGTGGCTGCTAGACACTGTGGCCCATGCTAGCCCTCCGGCCTCTGCAGTCACCTCTCTCAGAGGCCTGTTTCCAAATTGCTCATGGGAAGACAGCTGTGCTTGCTCCAGTGTTCTACATGTCTGCACCTCTGGATCACAGATAAGACAGTGGGCCTGTGGGCTGACCATGTGCAGAACTCCAACATACACTGACAATGACAAACCTACCACTGGGCAGCAAGCTGCCTCGGACACAGAGCTTTCACTGCGGCCACATAGCATCGGGTGCTGCGGGTGCTGGGGACGGAGAGGCCAGGACTGGTGGGAAACCGCTGCTGCTGTCTAGGAAGGCTGTCCTTGAGCAGGAGGGACAAAGTGGAAGGAAGCCAGGCAAACAGGACAGGATGCAAGAGAGAGCTCCTGCTGAGGGGCCGATGGAGATGAGCCCACAGGAAGGGGCAGAGAAGCTGGGCCAGATAGAGGAAAAGGCCTCAGGGAGAGTGTCTGCTCCCAGGGGCCACCTGGGGTGGGCCAGGTTGAGTGGCAAACGAGTGGACTTGGCTCTTGTCCTGGGCAGGGAGGAGGCATAAGGCCCATAGCAGGTCTCACATCCACGTGAACAAACGGAGACTTTCCTCCAGGCCAGCAGGTTGGACAGAATGTTCTGTGATAGTGGAGATGCTCAAGGGGGTGGCCATGACCACATGCACATTTGGTGTTGCACATGAAGCTGAGAAACTGAACTTACACTCTGACTTTAGCCTTCGTTTTAAGTTTTAATAGGTACAGGAGGCTGGTGGCTTAGGTGCCAGATGGCACTGCTCCAGACAATGTGGGAACTCCTGGTGGTTACAGGAGGATGGACTCAAGAGGCAGGCAAAGTGCTCGGGAGGCCTCTTCCCACAGAGAGTAGGGTGAGCCCCAGACCCAGATGAAGGGCCTACTGGGGGATGAGGCCCTGACACAGATAAGGGAGGGGTGAGGAAGGGGCCTGACATAGACGGCAGGAACCTGCTTGGGGAGAGACAAAGGGCAAAGAGGTTGAATGAAGGTTGAGGACAAAAAATCAAAAGCAAATGCCACAACCATAATGGCAATGCCTATGGGGTCCTGTGCTGTCCTGTTAACACTGACCTGTTTGACCCCTACCAACCTCAGTGAGGCAGATTCTCTCTGCACCCCATCTTTCAGAGATGAGTGACCTGTCAAGGTTACCATGTGGGATGCAGGCCTCTATGTGTCTGCATGTTCTGGCATCTGTGATGCTGGCCTGATGCCTCTAGCAGGGGAACAGGGCAGAGCCACTGAGCAGAGGCCATACAGGAGAGAAGGGGTGTGGGGACCCAAGGGCAGGACACATCAGCACAGAGGCTGTGAGGAGAATGGGGTGGGCTTGCTGGGTGAGGGGCGGATGCTGGGCAAGAGCCAGGGTCAGTGTGTGCCTGCCTGGGGCCTGGGGCCCGGAGACAGTGGTTGGGGAGTCCCGATGCCCACAGCCGAGCACTCTCCTGGCACAGAGGGCATTGCTGCACACGGGGAGGAGCAGTGCCATCAAGCCCAGGGGCAGCTGAGCTCAGCAGCTTTACTGCAGAGGAAAGATTTACTTGAAATTATTCCCGGAGTTATATAAAGAAAGGCTGTTTTCAAGGTCTAAGACACAGCAGACTGCATGTGCTGTTTGGTCACCACATCAACTGATTTGGGACAGGGAAGAAGACTAGCAACAAACACGTCCCTGATGACACAGAGCCTGGGAAGCTGGAGGACCAGGCACACTTCCCACTTCAATGAGCACGTGAGGGAGCCTTAGGCACCCCCAGACTTGTGCTGCCAATCTTGGGCATCTGAGAGACTCCACATAATTCCATGTCACCCCCCCCACCCCCTGCCCCAGGGAGAGGGCCACACGGCTGACCCTTGCTGCCACGCTCCCTGCTGTAGGCTCCTCGGTTCTGCACAGGGCACTGGCAAGAATTCCAGCTCCTGCAGAACAGACAAAAAGGAGCCCGAGCGTGAAGGGACGTCCCCTCCGTGTGGCTCTGGTGAGATACTGCTTTCCAGGTCTGGGGACAGCAAAACAAGAACACGAAACCCAAGGGCCAACCTCCCTAAACCTAAACCAGACCAAAGTGTGCACGGCCTGCGGTGCCATGCCCATGACACACAAGCACCTGTGTGTTCAGCTATGTTAATGGCAGAGTTTGAAGGGCACAGCTGAGACTACATTACCTTTTAGCTGTAATTATACAAACATAGGTTTTTAGGAAGCCAGACAAGGTGAGGAAGACGTGAGCAGTGGGGTCCCTCCTCATTTTATACAAAATACCAGCTGCTCCATTGTTCCCGAAGCAAGGCTTTTGTTACGTTAGTGCTGTGCAAACTCAACAGTGAGTCTCTCACTTTTCAGGGCACATCTGCGCAAGGCCCTGCTGCTGCCGGGCCAGCAGCAGTCAGCTCTGTGCTCCTACCGCGCCTTCAGTCTGATCCAGGCTGAAACCCAGATCAGAGAGCAGCGACCTCCACTCATGGAATTAAAAGATGGCAACTGACATCTAGTTGGTCCCAGCTACCTGGCTTTGCCCATCAGATCTTGTTTCTCATCAGTGCCAAGATGGCTAAGCCACATGACAGGGACATGCACAGAGAAGACGTGGGGGGAAACAGGCTTTCTTCCCACCTGGTCCAAAGGCAGGCACCAGTCTCAGCCCGCCAGGAATGTGGCTGCAACGAGGGTGTCCAGAGCTTACCTGTGACCAAGGGTGTCTGTGCAGGTGGCTGTTCCAGTAAGACCATGTGGTGCAGGAGAGGGCTGTGTGTTGCCCCGCCGTCCCGCTCCAAGGGCGACGAGCTCAGGTAGGGGGTGAGGTGGGTGCCAGGGAAGAGTGAGATCCTCTGCTGGAGGGCGGGGAGGGCGAGTCTCTCAGCATCCTGCTGGCCGGCCGCACCCTGCAAAGCACAGTCAGGGATGCTCGGGCGCCAAGCCCCCCATCCCACCCCACAGACCACGGGGTCTGACTTACAGCGGAGGGACCCGTGGCAGGCAGCCCGAGGGTGATGTTGGGCAAGGATGGCGACGTGTAGAGAGGGAGCGGAGCCAGGGAGCCTTCCCGCGTCACGAGTCTGTGCGCCAAACCGGCCTAGGGGCAGAACACACAGGGCCTGTCACAGCCAGCACACACCAGGAAAAGCGATGGCAGGGAACACTCACAGCCAGCACACACCAGGAAAAGCGATGGCAGGAAACACTCACAGCCAGCCTCCACTGAATTGGAGACACCTCAGTGCAAACACACATGTAACAAATCACGGCAGGCACAGTGTAAACGTACACAAGTATGTATGAAAATGGATTTGAAATCACCAGTTTGCTCCTCCTGATACAAGCTCTTCTGTCATCTTTTCCATTGTCATCTTGTTTATTTCTTTTTTGGCCAGGGCTGGGTTTGAACCTGCCACCTCTGGTATATGGGGCTGGCGCCCTACTCACTGAGCCACAGGCGCCACCCAGTCATCTTGTTTTTTTTACTCAATTTGCTTATATACCATAAAACTAACAGAAGAAAAGGTGGGATAATATATTTAAAAAGTTATTTTTGGAGTTGGGAATATCTTTCCAAACATGACATCAAATCCAGAAACCAAGAGAACATTATGGGCAGAACACAGAGGCAGGTATGATGACAGCAATGCTGGCCACGTGTGGGGCGGGGCTGATACAGAGCTGGTAAGTCACACAGCTAACAGAGAGAAAAGACACACAGACTGCTGCAAAGGGACAGGACACACTCATGAAAACCACTCAACATTATTGGAAATCTAAAAACATATTTTAAAACCCATCCAATTGGCAAAGATTTTACAAAAATGGTAATACAATTTTGGCCTAGAGAAACAAACATACTACTG